GAATACATAGAAGAGAACAAAATCACTTTCTTGAAGAATTATCTCAAAGTACAACTAAAAATTTCACTGACAGTTACACAAAGCATAATCGGTAAGCTTTGTTATAAAATGAGGAAAAATTTCAAGAAGGATATATGAAATAGTTGCTGTAAAAAAGTTATAGAGTGGAAAAAGAAGCAGAATATTACTGAAAAGGATAAAAGAACCAAAAGACATGGGCATCTATCCATCATGTAAGTCATGCAAGAACAGAAAGAAAAACCCATACTTGCAGAAGATCTGGAACAAGAAGTCTCTTAAAGAAAGTAGAAAATGGAGTATATGGAAATCATCAAGGATTGGATTTGTTATAGAAGGAAATGGTTTGGTTTTTAACTGCAGTTGGAATTTAGAATGATCAACAATACTGACCTGTAGGCAATGATTTTATTGACTAGAGGATTTATTCAAGTTAGTAAAGGAGCGAAATATCATTTTCTAAGTTGTATTTAGAGAAATAGTTTTTCAACAATGGATGAGTTGATATGTGAAAGTCAAAATAATTTATAAATATCTGATATATATATAATAAAGACAAGCTATGCTGATCTGACTGCGAATTAAAAAAAAAATTATATTCAAAATAATATTTATAGATTTTTTGTATTTTTTTTATTTTTTATTTTTTATTTTTTTTTAACACACTAGCTCATTACTGCACCAGCATCGGAACCTTTGTTAATTATTAAGATAGATCCTAGAAACAACCGAGATAAGTAATTATCCATACTATCTAAGGATTTATAGATCAACGAATAGTATAAGGGACATCTATTTATGTCTTACCCAATCAAGATAGAGGAACTATGTGATCATCTAGTGTAGAATTTTTTCTTAATTCTTAACAAAGTTAAAGGTACCGAGAGGTGTTTTAACATATCAATTTAATGGAGTACCAACCAGTTTTAAACTATGTTTGTATAACCTCATCCAATCGAAGTGACACTTCCTAGAACCGTAGTCCATCAGACAACCTATTGCTATCTCTATGAAGGAAGGCTAATGTGTCAAGAACTTGCCTAAGATGCCTAGCACCATCGGAGTCAGGGATCTCTTATATAGGATCTTTATGACTCCTGTTAGCGTATACATTTTTATAGGGAACCTGTCTTGTTTTGTTATCACCTGTCTTCTTGTGCAACCCATCTTTGCCTCTTTTAGGGAACCTGTTTTATATTTTCTTAAACATTAGAATATCTTACTGCCCAACTTTGCCACTCAGATAGGAGATCAGTCTTGATTAAGAATATCGTACCACTTAGTCTTGCCTCATTTGAAACCTGTTTTAATGGTCAGCTTGCGCATCGGGCTGATTTTCTGTCTTGTTATGGGCATGATAAGCGGTCAATTCCTTGTTATGGCCATGCTAGGGTACCGGATCGTCATCATGGGGTAAATGGGATCTTTGTGCCACTGATAGCTAAATTTCACTTGGCCCTTATATGGTATTGAACTCTGGACCTTGTAATTGTGACCTGGAAGCACTACCACTATGCTATAGACCCATAGGTCTTCTTTGTATTTTTTTTATATTTTTATAAAATATTATTATACTATATATTTATATTTTTCAATTATACTTTCTTATATTAATTTTATATAATTAAAATATTTTAAAATATTATATATTTAAATTATTACCTAATTTATTAATAAAAACTTTGATAATATTTTTTGTAAACTTTAATATGTTACTTATATCATTATTAAAAATATTTATTGATAAAATCAATTTTTTTTATAAAATTAATATTAAAAAATCTAGATATTAATATTTTTAATATAGCTTTAAGTTTATATTTATTTTTTTAACTTTTTTCAAGTTATTAAAATTGAAAGAATAATTCTAATATATTCTATATCTTTATTTTTAATTCCAAATTTATCAAGAATTAATTTGATTTTTTTTTATTAATCAATATATTTATTATTTTATTTTAATTACTTTTTAGACAATTTTTTTTTTTTTTTAACGGGCTCATACCTAACTTTATTGAATCTCAAATTACAAGTTTACATTGTGTAAAGTGTGAATATATAGATGTATATTCAGAGAAAATAAAGATACCGATAAGCTAAAGTTATTCTAAAGCTACTTCGAGGCTTATTGCCTTTTTTTTTTTTAAAGAAAAACCAATATTTCTAGAGCGTGCTGGTGTCATAAATGAAAATAAAAAGAAATAAAAGAAAAATTAAACAGTCATGTGAAATGTATCAGTTTTGTTTCTTAACATATGCCTGTCTTGTTCAAATTCCTCTCGTGAAAAGATCTGGGGAAAAACTTCTACTGAGTCTTTTATAGAAATAAGGTGAAGGTCAAAAAGGAGACTGTACAGTTTTAAGACTTATGGGAAGGAAATAGCCAAGAAGGCCCAGGTGGTATATTGATGTTCACATGATCAACTTGAAAGTTCCTCAATATATTGTTATGGGTCACGTGAGTGACGCAATTTACACGTAATAGTCTAGAATCCAAAAACCTGAAAGTCTAGCATGAAAGATTGAGTGTTGCAAGGTAAGAAACTATAGATAAGGCTCGAATACTGATAAGGGAACTATGTGTATCTGAAAAAGTATAGAAAGTTTAGCAAAGCTTAGAGTTAGTATAGCTGATTATAAAGTAGATAGTCCATTGTTAGTTAGAAAAGTATAAATAGCTTACCAATGTATGCCAAAAAGGCAGAGCTGAATGTGTTAGAAAAACAGCCCTCATTGTGAATAGAGATAAGAATTAGTGAGATACCAAAGAAACAGAACGCAATAAAGAGACACTTACCTTCGGTCAAGTCAATCACCACGCCTCTGCCTTCCTTAAGTGTTCTTTATAGGAGGTGTTCTCTTCTTTGTGAGTATTCGTGAGATGTCTGGGTTACATGAGGTGCTACGGTTTAGTGACAGACTCGTCAGATTAGTCCACGACAATATTGTTAATTAAACCTATTCCTATCTAAATATGGGTATACTTACCCATCTTTATATCTTATTTCATATTTAATTTCTTATATGAAGAATAGCACCTAGCCTTATAGTCAACATATTCTACTAATAGCCATTGGTACTAATGATCAACAAGGATCTTCTAGACATTCTGGCTAGCTTGCACATCATTGCTAACATTTTTGGACTTGAGTTTTGATTGATATAATAGTATTAACCTTCCAGTTTTCCAGCTTAGGATTTTTTGAAGATAAAACGAAAACTTCTTGGATTACTTTGCGCATAAGCTTTATTATTGAGTATCCTTAATGGCTATATACTTTCTCTTATTTAGACTTTTTGGGCAGTAGAGGTTGGAATCTACCTGATATACAATTAGGATAGAGGTGGCTCTGACTTGAGAAAAGATTAATCAAGCATCTTGTGACCTTTATCATAGTCGAATAGACTCTTTCTTGTATTCAATTATGTATCGGTGCCATGTCCTGTATTTACTTGCGCCAAACAAAATAATTTATAATGAATCCCAGGTTCTTATGTAGCTGAGGAAATACATTTAGACATGTAAGTAGCTAATAGAAGCTTGTTTATCAATCTTGTCCAATGTGTTTCATATTAACCAATCAGAATTTGTGAGATTCATGTTATTCTAAATTTTAGGATCAAGCTAGGGTAGGCAAAATTCCCCAGAAAGTCATAAAAAAGATAACTCTGAGAGGTTACAATACTAGTCAAAGAATAGAAAATTGAGTCCTTTGATTGGTTTTAAACTTCTATTATCTCTACCATAATTAAAAGGTAAAAAATATTTCACTATTGATCCTTTTTTCTTTAGGAACTTTCTTGCCATAGGTAGTAAAGGTGAGAGCTCAACTTTGCAAGCTATAGAGTTCAATTTGTTCAAAGGAGATTATAGACAAGAGGGAAGTGATAGTGAAGAAGTTTTAAAAAAACTCTTTGGATTGATTTAAAAAAAGTAGTAAGACTTTATTAGTATAGAAGTATTAAAACTTCTTGTAAACATCTTTTTTGTGTGTGGTTAGAGGATCAGTGGAAAGAGTAACTATTGACTTTTTAGACAATTATATTTTTGTATTAAGTTTTCTTAATAATTTTTTTAATCCTTTTTATCTTAATATTATAGTATATAAATTTGAGATTTTTTATTATGTTTTTAATATTCTTTTAAAAAAATAAAAGAAATTTTAGTGAAACTAAATTACAAATAATAATTTTTAATTTAGTAATAAGAATTATGAATTGCTTTGCATTTTTAAATAATTATATTTAAAGTTCATATATTGTGAGCTTTTTTATTTTTTATTTTATTTTTTTCTAAAGTATTGTTGATTTAAGGATTATTCAAAATTCTAGACTATGCTTGTATTGTCTAGTTTGTTATGATACTATGTTTTTTTTATTAAGAGTTTATTAAAAATTATTTTGTAAAGCATTTCCAGATTTTAATTATTCTACTTTTTATCTCATATTTTGATGGTTTTCATATAAAAGGGTGTCAGTTTTGTTTTAACTTGTGATTCAGGTTTTCTTGATATTATGCCATTGTTCTGAAGTAGATCTCTATAGATCTTTTGTGATCTTGCATTTCTAGAAAAAAGGTTAGTGTCATAATGAGCATTGCATGATCACTTCCTGTGATATTCTTGAAGTTTTGGATAATATTTTCAATAATAAAATTTCTTTAAGAAATTTTTTTATTAAATAAAAAGCCCTACACCAAAGATTGTTGCATTAATACTTTTTAAAAATAAACAAGAAAAGATCGTGATAATGAAAAAATCAAACATTTATTCTGTAATTTTAGTTAAAATATACAGTAATTAAATAGTACCCAGGTTTGGAACATCGTTTATGCGTAGAGTTTATTGACTTTATTGGCTACAAATGAAGCTTGAAAAAATTTAGATTATTACTAAAATTCTGTCCGTGTAGTTCTCTTTTCTCTGGATTATGAGTTTGCTAAAATGCAGTTTAAATGGGATTTGTTTGTAATACAGTACATCCTACCCACTTCGCTCCGAATGATAAAGTTTTATTAGTATGAAAAACGACAATCAATGTCGCTTTTATACTTAAATGCATTTGATAATTATATATTGAAACTAATAAATACGTCTAGGTTTGGTTATATACATTTCTTATACAATATAATATAAACTTTATTCACTTCCTCCAAAAGATTTTGGTTGACGTGACGAATTTTTATGTCTATTTGCGCCATCAAATCGTTGGCGTAGTTTACCCAACTCATTATCCCAAGAGGCAATGTTTTTCTCCAGACATTTGCATCCTCGGTTTTTGTTTTCAAGTCCTCGGTGGCATATATTAAATAATCGCAATCTATTAAAAAAAAAAAAAAAGTAAATAAGAATGTAAAGAGGAACATTTTCTTTAACGTTCAAACATAGTTACCGGCGCAGAGGCCTTTAAATTCACCAGTCAACACTATCGCAGCGCATTTTTGCCTGTCTCCATTTTCGTTTGGTTCCTCGGAAACTTGATCCCGATCCTTCCGATTAGTAGGATGTTTAACCGTAACTTTCTCACGTATCTTGACTATCTTGACTACAATTTGCGAGAGAATATGAAAAGGAATTTTCGGCATTTGTACTAGTTCTGATTTGGTTTTAAGAGAGAAAATTTTCTGTACTAGTAGATTGACGTGTCGTATTTATATATTATTGATTCTGCTCGAATATTTCGTGATCAATATATAAAACTATTGTGGGCTGCGTAACAACTCGAATAATAGAACAAAGCAAGGTTATACTCTTTGATGAATAATGATTTTATTTCCTAAAAGTCATACCCGATCTACTGTTATCCGTTTAATTTATTCATATTATTACCGTTGATCATTGAAAGTACATTCCCGTTATAACCTTAAAAAAAAAATAATAATAATGAAATTTAATATGCTAACATAATTTATTTTTTGTAGAGTCGTGTGATATCAACTTAGCTAATACATTGGTCCGGCTGGTAATAACTCGAACTGATTTATAATTAATTAATCGGAAATAATTTTCCATCGGCGCATAATTCGAGATAATAATAGTCTGTGAAACCGGAGTTCCGCGGCTGAGCGGTCACAAAGTCATACGAAATGTAAACGAAAAATTATTTGTGTGAATGTGCTTTGTTTCTTTATAACTCAAAATGAGTCAGGTTTTCTAGTGGATTTAAAAATGGCAATTGTTTTGTATATCCTTTACGTGTGAAGGTAATATTATTTTCCCTAAAAAATATTATTGATTACTATGTGAAATACATGCTATCTAAAAAATATTATAAATACAATCAACGAACTCATGGACCCAAGCCAACTTAGAGCAGTAAATTGAAAAAGGATGTCATATCTCGCATCTTATTTCTTCGAAAATAATGTTGTAGATCAAGACCATAATATGTTTCATATGCTTCAATTGGTGAATAATGAGCGCAGAAAATTTGGTGCTAGAGACTTGATATGGGATTCGTAAGTTAGTTGCTTAATTAATTATTTCCTGATGATAGTGAAAAGGATCCAACCATACTGATGTGCTCACAAAAATCGGAAAAGAAAACATCTATTGGTTTTAACCAATTTATATCTGATTAATTACTTATAAACTATTGTTCTTTCATCACTAAACAATTTTCCCAGTCGTTTAGCAAAGGCCGCTCAAGATCAATGCAACTATATGGCGTCACACGGTTTGACGCATAGTAATCACGTATCCGGTGATCTTGGGACTAGGCTTAGTGCTCATCATTTTTCTTGGTCTGGTTGTGCCGAGAATATAGCACACGGGCATGAAGATGAAAATGCAGCCATAAGAGGGTATTTCTATAGATTTTTTTTTTCTTTAAAGAAAAAATGACAACCCCGTCATTTTTAAATTATTATATATATATTGTAGGTGGTTAAATTCTGAAGGTCATAGAAAAAATATGCTCAATCCAAAATATACTCATTTCGGAGCTAGCCATCTAAATGGTTATTGGGCTCAGGTCTTTGGAAGTGAATTATAGGTCCATAATTAATGAAATAGCAGGTATAAAAAATTACGAAATAGTCGAAATAACGCTACTAAATAGAAGTATCGAAATAATTTCTGGTTTTTTTTTTTTTTTTTTGGTCTTGAACGGCGAATAAAAAAAAAAATAAATAGAATATTCTGCATAGTGCACACATACACATCACCCCACAGAAAAATACGGAAATTATTATTTTCGTTAAAATTAACGGATGTACGACTGTCAAAGTATTACATAAGCATGATACGCAATTCATAGTATAATGAAGCCGCATTTTAAGTAATACATAGTTTCGATTGAAGATCGGTGTCGGTCTTTTTCATTTTCAGATTACCGATGAGTTGGTCGCTGGTATAATGACAACAATATCTATAATTATTACCCATAAATGTCAAAATTAACGAATTTATCATTCATGCATCATATTTTAACAGCCCGGAAAGCACAGATACTTAGAATAGTATATATCACAACTTCCTTACCCCATTTAGCGATTTCCGGAACTCGAGCTTTAGATACAGTACATCCCTTTTTTGGTTTCTAATTTTAAATCCGATGTGTTCAATTAGCACAAATATAGATTCAATCATTCGACCAAAAGTCCTTTACGCAAATCCAAATTTGTAATTAATTCTCATGCAGGTTTATGCAAGGTGATAAGTTTTATTCTACGTTGCATTAATCATCACGGTCATGTTTGCCAAGTCGAATTTCTTCTTTTTCTCTTTCCTTTTTTAAAAGTAGGCGTAATTACCAACTAACAAACAAGCATACTTGATGTTACATTTACTATTAAATTAATACCGTCATAAAGGTATCAATAAATATTTACAGAAATTATTTATTGGTTATATTTATTGGTTTAAACGTGACTTTGAAATTGAGCGGCATCTATTACAAATCAATCAATTAATGGATTAATTTTATCAACTAATTTATTTCTATGGATTCGACAATATAAAATATATTAATTTATAAAAATTGACTCAAATTTAAAATATATATTATTTAATGAATCGATATGATATTTGTAACAAATATATAAAAATTATAAAACCTATCTATTATTAAAAAAAAAAAATCTATTACATAATTATTTTTTAAGCAATAATAAAAATTGATTTATTATTCTTAAAATAAATAAATAATTATCATAAAAGCACAAGTTTATTATATCTTATGTACATTATCATATTTATTATTTTAGAATTCCTTATTAAAAAACTATAAAATTTTTATATCTTAGTTTTCACAATAAAATAATTTATATAATATATAAAAAGTAATTAAAAAATTTAAATGTAATGAAATAAAAGAAGAAAAAAAGATTAAAATTTATTTATTCATTATTTATATACAATATATATATAACAATTGATTGAAACAATAATTTTTATTTTTTAAAAAATTAAAATAATTTAAAATCTATAATAATAAATTATTAAATTTAAAAATAAAAAATATATTAATAGAAATTTTATTCAAAATATTTTATAAAATAAAATAATAAAAAATATAACAAAAATGAAAATTTTGTAACTAATAGTCTGTATTTTATTATATAAAAATTAATAAATAAACTTGTTATTTTTTTTTTTTGAAATAATTTATATTTTTATATAATAAATTGAACTATACAAAAAAAAAAAAAAACAATTTTTTTAAAACCTGTAAATCAATAGCATAGTAATAATGCTTCTAGATTGCAATTATAAAGTTTGTAATTCAATATCACTTAAGGATTAAAATAAAAAATTATCTTCTGATCACTTTATCAATTATTATATAAAAGTTATACTAAATTATCTGAAATAAGTTTTAATAAAATTAGGTTACATGAAAATGAAACTTCTGACTTTACATAGATTAGAAGCTGAAATTTATGATTATACTATTGAAAGGATTGCATAAAAAAAAGCTTCTGGTCTAATCTACTATAAATACCTCAATATATTTCTATTTTAGCAATCTCTAAGATCCACTTTTCTGGCTTAATATATTTCAATTTGATGTTCTATTTAAATAAAATTAATTAACAGGAACTAATCTGATGCTACAGATAATAATAAAAAAAATTAAATATTTTTTTTAAGATTTATATAAATAATATTTAAGAATATTGAAAAATATAACAAATTCTATTAGATTTTTATAAAAAGAACTAGCTTAATAAAATATAAAAATTTGTAAACTCAATATTAATTAACTTAGTTATATTGTTAATAATTATATATTAATCATTTGACTTCTAGTTAGATCTATTTACTCAAGAAGTAATAATAGATCTAATTAAGATTAATTGTAATAAATTATCATTAATCTATATAAATATAGAAATATATAGTCTATATAAGATAATTAATAACATCTTATAAAATTTAATTATTTAATAAAATATATATATCTAATATCAGTTGCAATTTAAAAATTAATAAAAAAATTTTTGCATAAATAGTCAAGCCTATATTTTCAAATGAATAATAATAAAAAGAAAATATAAAAAATATATATATAAAATAGTTAAAGAAGAAAATTTAATTTTTTTGAGATAAATATGAAGTTTATCAAAGTTAAAATATAATCTAATAATTTTTATAATAAAAAAATAGATATTTTACTAAAAAAATCTTAAAACTTCTATTGATAAAATAGAAAACTTTATATTTTACAGAAATAAAGTAACAAAATATAATTTTAAATAATTCAATTAGATAATTTATTAAGAATATTAATAACAAAACAATAGTTTATCAATAGATATAATAAAATTGAACAAAAAAAAATAAAGTTATCAAATTTTAGAACAATATTCTATTTATAAGATCTGATATAAAAAAATAAAAGATAAATATATAAAAAATATATTCTTTAAACAATTTTAATAAAAACACTTTTTTATTAAACTAATTAATAATAAATTACTAACCTTAGATAAATTAAATATATAAAGGTCTAATTTATTGTATATAAATAAATAAAATATATTGTATATAACTATTGATATAAAATAATAAAATACCTATTAGAATATTCAACCTACAAGAATTTTTACAAAAAGTATAAAATAAAAAAAATAGATAAAATTTTCAAAAACTTCAAAAAACTTTTAAAAAAAATCCTCCCAAAAAATGGTTATAGATAATTGCAAAAAATTAAAAAGCTTACCAAATAGATTTTTAGATTAATAAAACAGATTTTAAAAACTATTTAAAATATTCTAAGTTTTTATGCTAATTTTATAAAAATAATCTTATTCACAAAAGGGTAGACATGAAATATTATAAAAAACAAATAAAAAAAAAGTAAAATAGTAAAAAATAAAATTATAAAAAAGTATATAACATGTTTAAAAAAGAATTTAGAATATAAGATATAAGAATATAATTAAATAGAAATAAACATATGAGATTTATAAAGAGAATAAGACAAAAAAATTTATATAATTTTTAAATCTAAAACCTATATTTTTAATAAGAAAAGAACTATTACTAGAAAAAAAAATTAGAGGATAAAAGTCTTAAAAAGAGTTAGTAAAAAGAATTAAATATAAAATGAAATTATTGAAGTTTAAACCTTGTTAAAATC